ATTAAAGAAATTATGCTTAATAGCATATGCAGTGCAAATGTGATAAAAGTAATAAAACTTGAATTTTATAGACGCTATGCAGCTGAGTTGCTCAATTAAGATTCCAACTTATTACTTTAGTTTAGTTTTAAATGATTGATTATGTAAAATTATATACATACTATATATGTGAATATGCATTTATTTAAATTTCATTCATCATAATTTCAATAATTCAATATATAATTTTCTTAACAAAATACTTGCAAATTGCTTTACATTCGACAATACACAATACAATTTTATATTTGTAACAACAAAATTTATTTAAATTAATGCCAAATAATTTTAAAAGTTTTTAACCACAATTCAATTAACATAACAGATTATTTGTTCTTATATTTAAATGCTTTCATATCTCAACATAATCACGTGCATTTTTGATATATAAATTTATATATATAATTTATAGTTAATTTAATGTTATATATAAAATTGTTTAAAAAATAAAAATAATTACTTTCGTGAGAAAAAAAAGCTTTCGATAATTGTATTCAGAAATTAGTTTACCAGCCTGGTGGTTTCTGGTTAGGATAACCACCTTGTTGATGTGCAAAACTGCCGGGGTATGTACCATAATGTCCCGGTTGCGGTCCTTGTGGGAAACCACTGTATTGGTAAGCAGCTGAAATATGATATTTTTAAATAACCAAAATTTATATAAAAATATACTATGATTTATACACTTACATCCTGGATAAGGAAGCGTAGCATATGGATTAAAGCCTTGCGGCATTGGTGGTGGCGCATAAGCAGGATACGGCATATTTGGTGCTGCTCCATATGGTACTGGCATGCCTTGCATTTGTTGTGGATATGGCATATTTGTTGAAGCCGCAGTAGGGGCAGCAGGTACTGGAGATGGCGCAATAGTTGGTGCTGTTATATCTGTAAGTCACAAGAAAATTATTCATACTTATTTTATTAAATAGCGAATTTAAGAAAAATAATTACCACTTCCACTGCCTGATGTTGAAGCATAATGGGATGGTAGTGCGGGTGTTGGTCCTGGTGCTTGTCTGCTCGACTCTGTTGTCAAATCTTTAAGCAATTCCTCCTTTTCAGTTTTACGTGCAAAGCAGAAGTCGGAAATCTTATTTTGAAATACAACCAATAACTGCGTTAAATCATTATAAAACTTAGTGCCTTCTTTAAGATTGCCTAATAACTCTATAAAGCTATCATAAGCTGTAGCTAATTCTTGATACAGTTTATCGCGTGAACTACCGCAATTACCAGTTTCACTGATAAATTCATTATGTCCTTGTTGTACATCAGCAATTATTGTTTGTTGTCGTTCAATACTTTCCTTTACTTGTGCTTGCAATGGATTTAGTACTTCACCAATGCGCATAAGAGATAGCGCTGGTTCATCTATTGCACCATCCTTTTGTAATGCTTGCAGGAATTGATGTTTCATATCGAACGTCGCACCTTTAAGTTCTGACTCGATAGCATCACGTTCTGCTTTTATTGTTTCCACAGATTCCATTAATGCTCTTAATTTTTGCACACTTGGACAATTAGGATCGACGGTGCCATTAGCACTCGGCACCGCTTGATTTATTTGTTCTGGTGAGAGTGATAATAAGCTTATACCCTTTGAACAAATGTTGAGTAAAAAGAATAATCAATCACTATTTTAAAATAATTTTATTATATATTTACCTTTTGATTGGCTTCAAATTTCTGCCGCACAACTTTGTCTGCTTCAATAGCATTGAATATCACTTCACGATATTTCTTTGCATTAGTCCGGAACATTTCAGTTAATTTATCTGATGAGATTCTAGACCAACGTTCATTAAACTGTGCACGCAATTGATTATCAGAATCACGTTCCTCATCTAGCATACGTTCTGTTTCATCCAATATTTCTTTATTACGGTTAAGCAACTCTGGTAACTCTTTAAGCAATGACTGCACACCATCAATACCACCTTTTTCGCGCACATCACGTGCTTTATCCAGCAAAGAAGGTGGTAATCCACTGCTGCCATCGGTTATTTCTATAGCTGCTGGCAAATTTAAACTTGCCAATACCGCATTTAATGTCTGCGTTGCCTCACGTAATTTCATTACCTCTGCATTGACAATTTCATTCTTGCGCGTATCAGAAGCCATTATAGCATTGTGTAGTTCAACAGGCACCAAATTATCAAATTTATCTTTAAAGTTAGTAGACATAGGCGATGCTAATGGCAATGCCTTGGCCAATTGTGCTTTGCCTGGTGCAGCCAAAGTACTTATGTCCGGTATCATTTCATTATAAATGAACTCATTATCTTTTGTAGATTCTGCTAGGTTCCGTTTAGCACGGTTAAAATATTCATCCAAGTATGTTGCGTTGCCAGAACGTGTTTGAGCTGCTTTGAATAGATCAACTGCAGACCGTAAGCGCGCAATTTCTTCTCCAATCTTTTTAGAGGCGCGACAGACCAAACTCTGATAGAGCTGTGTTAGCGCGTGACAACCAGCCTGCTTACCAGCCACAGTTGGTATCCATTCTTTATCCCATAAGCTACGCACAGATTCTTTTTGCATGGCACGTAGAACATCAGCATAGAATTCTTCAGCCTGGCAGCAGAGTTTTGCAATGATTTGATCTTTCATATTATCTGTTAAAAATAAAAATGACACAAATTTAATTAGAATATGCAATAAATAATTAAAAATAATTAAATCAGACTTTTACCTTTGATTGCTTTCAGTATAACAACTTCCTGCGCTTGTGCAATCATTAAAGCTTGCAGCACAGTCAACATGTCTTGCGTTAAATCTGGAGTGGGTTCCGAAGGAATGGCAGCTGGTGTAGCACCTTTCAAATACTGGAATATACCTGCACTTTGCTGTAATAGTTTCAATGCCATTTTCAAGCCATCATCACAATCTAACGATTGTGCAGCCGCTACATTACTTTGCAGTGCCGCTATGTTGAAGAGTACACATACCTTCTCGTACAAAAGTGAAGTGTGTGCTGTTTAAAAATAAGATAATAACTATAATTAGTTATCTAAAAGTTAGATAAGATTTATTTAATGGTATATTGCACATATATATATATTAATATAAATACATATAATATCATATACAAGTCAAAACTGGGACAGAGTGAATGCGAATTGAAACGAATGCCTCGGTATTTACATTGATATCTACCATATTCGAAGTGGGAGTGTATTTTCTAAAAAACTTAGCTTACGTTCCTTCGAACTACATCATCATTGTAGTGTTTTACAAGCAGGGTTTACTGTCATTAATCTCGTTATCAAATAAATTCATCGCAATGAAATCTTTAGCAGGAACATTTACATTTTCAGTGATAACCAAAAACCCTCCTAAAATCTCCTAATAACTATCTAGCCTAATATCGGAATTTATTGGAACTTTCAATGAGGGGTCGCTAAATTTATTGGTTGAACTGCAATGTAGGGGCGATGAACTTGTCAGGAACGGTACATAATTTTCGATATCATCAAATCCAGTTGATGTAGGCGGTCTTTACTAGCAGTTAAAATGGCTATATTAACATTAAATATTTTAAAATGGTACTGTCGTACTTGTGACTTGAAGATGGAAGAAGAGAGTTCTTACTCATTTAAAAGATATTACCGGTTAATCAAAATTACAAGTGGTTTCACAATACTAATGAGGTTTCTATTAAAATAACCAATTCGCCTTCAAAATTATGACAACACAATAAGTCAATATAATAGACGTTAATGAGCTGCGACTTCTTGTAAGACAAGCTAACACCGATATCTTCTATATGCCATATTATATGTATAGATATATTAACAATACTTTTGACTGTTGAACTCAAATTTGTAGTTCGTTATCTTTCAGATATCTGGGTCTTGGGGAATAATTGGTTAAAATTTAAAAACTGAGGTTTTAAGAGGTAAACAAACATTTTTCGTGTCTTTAGAAAATTTGCAACAAACAAAATGATAAACATTTTTTCCTTAGGTTACCATCAACAAATTTCTCTTCTTTTCTCTTAAGGTAGAGATTTTTCATATCGTCTACAAAGACTAATTGATGGTCACCAATTTCCGTTGCAGTTTTATTGTTTCCAAGAAAAACGAACCAGATATGTTTGAGAGATGACTCAATTAATTACAGTGTCTTTATTTTGATCTATTCTGAAGTATTTGGAATGAGAGTTTCGTATTAGTAATAAGATATCTTTAATACTGCCTTTTAATTACATATGTTTTCGTAACATATTTTAATATTTATGTCTTATAAGTTCATATATAGCTATAAGTTCATATAGCTACTTAAATATCTTAATTAATAGTGAATTATATGAAATCTAAATTGAAAAACATATTTAGTAATGAATTCATTCAGAAAGATGTCAATTTTTATACTAATTAAATTATTTACTAATCATTAATCAGTGAATATTTTTTTCAACTAGAAAATAACTGCTTTTAGTTAGGGATATGATCTGGGCAGTATTTAGAACCCAATGTTAACATTATAGAGAACTGCAAGGTATTTATTGCCAACCGCATCTCCACGTCTTTACTCTTTTAAACTCTTCTTTTTAAATATTTAATAAAAATATTTTAATTTTCAGTTTAAAGACTTCACTTTTATTATTATTTAAGTGTATGCCCTTTGGAATTAAGCTTAATTAGAGTGAACACTTAATTGACTCATTGAATGCTTCAATTTTAATTCTGCAATAGCTCTTGAGACAGACTTTAACTCTGTATTATAATACCACATAACTATTTTTAATATTTCTGAATTTATTACTTCCTATACATACATACTCGAAGTATGTATATGTACATATATTAATATGTATTAATAATTGTAATAATGTTATTTAATTAATTTCAAAATATAAGCAAAAGCTTAATTAGACGATTTTAAATATTGGCAGTTAAAATTTTAATTATTATAAAATAATAAACTCCAATTATATGCATATTACGTTCATCGATAGTATGTATACGTGTGTATCCACATATGGATGACTATATGTAAGCTAACTTCCACTATCAGAGACACGCATCGCATACCGAATAATTGAAGCTCTTTTGTTACTTGTACGCTTCAGTTCGTAAGAAGGAGAAGCGTGAACAGTTGAAATAATTTAATAAACAAAAAAATAATAACAATAATAAATTATTTAAGCATGCAAACATTGTTATAATTTCAGTTAAACCCGCACAGTCAATTACGACATCTTCCATTTTAGGCGCAGATCGTAACCAGTTTCTTCACTCTTCATTAACCCAAACATTAGAAAATATGATTTGAAATATTTTTTCAGTTGGCTGAAACCGGCTTTTATGTTTAATAACAATAATAATAATGGATTTACAAAAACAAAAACTGGTTAACATAAAAAGCCGCTTAAAATAAGAAAATTTAAAGTTACAGATTATAAGTTGAAGATTGTAGAAGAGGAAGAGAATTAAGTTAAGAAAATGAACATTTCTTGATTTTTTTTTGTTAAAACTCTCAATATTGGTATAGGATGTGTCATAGAATAGAATTGACTACACTATGAAAATATGAATGAATATATAGTATTAGTACTGAAATGGAATGTTATATGAACAAAATACAGTAAAGATAATAAATAAAACAACTGTAAAAATAAAGACTGAACAATATTGTAAAGTATTTAATTTATTGTTTATTATTTAGAACTAAATTAGTAAATAGATTCCAGTATAAGTAACCATATTATGTTTTCAAGAGTAGTTATAATATTGCTCCGCTTTGAGGAAGAAGACAAACAAACTTGGAAATATCGGCGATGTTTATATAGACTACTATTATAGTTTATAAAAAAAATAATTTAGGTATAAGCTTTGGTTTATCTAATTCACATAAGTTTTTTCTAAAGCAAATATTTAAAAAATTGAATTTACAACTACTTTAAATTATAAAAAAGCATTCCATATATATGTTATTTAATGCAATGGACTTTATTGTAGGTATTATATATATAAAAAATAAATCAATAAGAAAAACAGTAAACAATACAAAGAAGGGGTTCCATATATTTAATACAATGTTGTTGTTGTAACCCACTAGGACCTGCTTGGGAGGTGTTGAACAGCACTTGGTTGACGCTAATCAAACTTTCTTTTGATTTAATACAATGGACTATATTGTTTTATATGCAAATTGTATCAATTAATAAAAAAAAGTAAATAAACCATAGAAAAAGATAAGAACAGATATTATATCTATTAAATAAATAAAAAATTATAGATAATGCACATAGATAATATATATTTTAGTTTCGATCTTGAATATCGAGCATTGAATATCGTAAGTAGATATAATGTTTCGAAGTCGATATATAATAGGATTGGTAAATTTGTATATATATTATGTCAATTCACAATGTTAAAAATTCACAAGGATGAATATATAATCATTAAAATCTAGTAAATGAAACGGAATACGTTATTTAGCAATTTATTTGTATTACGCACTCAGTTTGTACTTTACTTGTGTTTTACTACGAGTAGCACGTGAAACAGACCTATTATTAAGCTGGGTCTTATAAGTCCCTGTTTTACAATGCACAGTAAAGTTCAGTAACCAATAAGTGTTCCAATATATGTCATTTTAGTGTCAAATCGGTATTTTTTATGGTACTGTAAACCTAATCTTATGTTGTACCGGGTCCGCTTAACCCTATTAACCCATAGTGTTAAAAACTGCCTTTAAGTATTTTAGATATATAAGTTTTTTCACAAACTATCACATATGTATTTTTTAGTTTTAATTTCCTGCGATGTTGTGAATACATCTTTACTATCTTTGTAAAACAAGCATATAAAACATAAATTTAACTAATATATAAGAAATTACGAAAATTTAAATAAACAAGATAATTTTTATAACAAATAATAATATTAAGATTAATTAAACAAGAGCGTGACTCATTATTTTAATAAAGAAAATCTTCCGAGCTTTTTATTACAATTTCCGTTTAAGTTACTATGCTTTAATTATATCTAAAATGTTATCTACAATATTTGATAATTTTTAACATAAAAGTTACTTACTTAAACTGATTCTTCCACCGAAGATAGAGCCCTTATCAAAAGCATCTTTCCACTTAAAGGGAATTTGCAGTTCGTTAACTGAGATTTTTGTCTCAAGTGCACAAATTTGATCATAATAGCTGCAAAGATAAGAATGTTTTTATTTTTTAATCGAACTTACGAAAAAAAAAAAATAATAAAATGTAACATTCTTTACTTATTAAACAAAGAACGCAATCACAGTAAATTAATCAACATAAAAAACCACCATTAAATGATAAAATAAAAGATTACTTAATCAACAAATACCAAAGACGACGTCATTTTACTGCTTTTATATTCTAAATTGATACCAAATCAGAAATGAGTCATTTTTGTGTTGTGGTCAACAAATAAATATTAGAAAGTAATCTTGTTCTTTCCGTGGTAATTAATTATAAATTTAATTTCATCATGTCGATGAACATACCTATAAACAATTTCCAAGGAACCTTCGTTCTTTTCGAAAAATTTCCAAATTGCCGTTTTGCGTTGTGAGGAAAAATTATTTACAGCTTCACTGTAACTCGCTTTATCGGCTGCTGGAGCCGCACTGTAGGTTCCCTGTATGAGGTTGTTAAGTGGTGTGACCACATCAACTTCGGACGGTTTCTTTAGCGGCACACCCAATAATTTTGACATTTTTAACTTTTATTTGTTAAACAAAATAATATTTTTAAAACAATTAAATTTTTTTTCTCTATTTTAGACGAATATTGCTATTTCTTCTTGCAATCCAACGTCACTCCGCCGCGAAAATGACGAATAGTTTTCAACGATTTGGTCTAGACTAATTTTACCAATTATCATTGTTTACCTTTTTCTTTGGTATATTGCGCGCAGTGTTGTATTTTTGTGTGTGAAGAAGCTTTTATTATACCAGGTTCGCACTATCTCATTTAGGCACTTGCTCATTTATATAAATGAGGAACCGTTCACATAATAATGAGCTCATTTATACAGCTTTTAGAACTTTTATATGTCAAAAAAGCTATAAAAGAACTTTCTTTTGTTTACAAATAAAACACAAAGAAAAATTTTGGTATTGTGTAAAATAAATATTTTAAAATGGAAAACGCAGAAAATTTAAAAAACATAATATATATAATGTGTGTGAAATTATTAATAATAGAAAGAAAGCAATTTCTGAATATCGTAAATGTCGTGCAATGCACCGAAAAAATATACTTGAAATAAGAAAAAAGCAAATAGCAATACTTTCTACAATAATTGCTAGCAACCGGAGGAAGTGCTGGACTTTGGTTAGTGCCGCCAGTAATGATTATTAAATAAAGTTTAAAATTAACATTTTTTTTCAGAAAAGAACAAAGAAATTCTGGGAAGTGGATTGCCAGAAAAATGGTCCAAATTTTTTCAAAGAAAATTTTCGCATGAGTTTGGAATGTTTTAAGGAGTTATGTGAATTATTAAAAGGACTACAGAAAAGAGATACAACCTTTCGAATTTCAATTTCTATAGAAAAGAGAATTGCTATTGGCTTGTATTGCCTTGGGTCGTCGGCTGAATACAGAAGCGTAGCAAATCTGTTTGGCGTTGGCAAGTCAACCGTGTGCATTTGCCTGAAATTATTTTGCCAGGAGGTGTGGAAAATTCTTTCACCCTTGTACATGAATGCATTTCCATTAACAAGCGACAAGGTGAATGAGTGCATCAGAGGATTTGAGGTTCTTGGTTTTCCACAATGTTTAGGTGCAATGGGTAAGTTTTCAATTTACTATTACTGAAACATATTAATTGTAAACAACATTAAAGATGGAAGCCACATTGAAATAAAACCAGAATCTCAGAATGCTGTTGACTACTATAACTATAAAGGGTGGTACTCGATTGTTTTGTTTGCCCTCGTAGATTATAGGTAAGTAATTTATAAGTAAATAAACAACGAAATTTCAATAAACGCGCAAATATATTTTACTGTTTATTTACAGATACCGTTTTCTTTATATAAATGTTGGGTATCCTGGAAGAGTCATTGACTCTTCCATTTTTGAAAATTCATCACTTAAGAGCCAGTTAGAAAATTGTATTGCTTTAGAAGACAAAAGTAGGGTGATTAATGGTGTCTTTTTGCCATTGACATGAATCCATCTGAAATAAATGAATATATCTCACTAAAAAATTAAATATTTCATTGATATATTAAATCATTTATACACATGTTATATATTAATTACATTTCAATTAATAAAAACAGATTATATTTAATACTACTTTCTCAGTGTACTTGTTTACAGCTCAGTTGTTGTTTGTTTACATTTTATATTTAAAAATATATGACAGATACTTCAAATTTTGGTCATTTCCCTTTTGGGAAATTTTTTTTAAAGGGTTGCATTCGACAATTTTGGTCTAAAATGAGCTGATTTATTGTAAATCAGCACATTTATATGAAAGCTCTTTGTATGGTAAATCATGCTCATTAGTGATTATAATGAGCAAAACCACCTAAATGAGATAGTGTGAATGTACTATTACGCATAGCTTTTATTTTATATAGAAAAATATTAATTAATTTTATTAAATATTAAGTTCGAGTAAATTGATGGTATATTGAGGGAAATAGTAAATTATGTTGGTATGGCAGGCATGTTTTAATTTATCAGAAGTTTGAGTAGAGAAAATTAGATAAAAATTAGGTAAATTAGATGTTACCATTGTGAAAATTTTATATGTTTAATAAATAAATTTAAAAACTTCTAAACGAAAATAATAAATAAGTGCAATAAATAAATATTTATAGAATTGCAGTTCAAAAAATATCTAGGAAATTTCAATTTATTATATCGCAATTTGCTCGAACTCGCACACAGCCAAAAAAGTAATTAGTCTTGAAAATATTTACTACAGCTAATTTTTGTTTTCGTATTTATATACTTGTAATCTATAACTCAGATTCGATATGCATAATTTTAACAATCAAGAAAATGTGAAAAGCAGAATATATTGCCATTACCCAACATTATTGGACGTAAAATAAATGAAAATCAAACAATTAAACAAAATTACAAAATCAAACAAAACTTTAGAGTTTTACTAATTTTTTTTTTATTTTTTATTCTTCAAAGAAACTAGATTTACATTTCAAGGTATTTATTTGTTTGCAATCGAATAAAGTACAGAAGAAATAGTGAAGTAAAATATTTAAAAATTAGGATTTGGGACTTTAATTTTTTTCTTATTTTCAGTAAAAAGAGATTCCACTTTATTCATAATCTTATAGTGATCATCAGTTGTAGTATAATTCGTTTCAAAAATAAATTCAGAATTTTGAATGAGTCCTCTACTTTATTCTTGGAAGGGTGATAAACAATTACATCCACCGAACGAACCCTCATCATCACTTTCCGTTGCGCTTAGAATTGGATCCAGTAATTTAGAGCTATAGTGCTCTTTATTTGTAGGAAATCTCAATATAATTGTTAAGAGTAGCATTTGAAGTTCTTTTATTTACTTTAAACCACGCTGCCAGCGACTGGCATTTGCACAAAGAAGCAACAAAAGAAAGAAAAAATTAAAAATTTGGTTTGGAAAAAGGTGCTTCCCTTAACAGAAAAATGCATTTATACTTAAAACAAAAATTCGACTTATAGAATGCACTTTCCCATATTCCTATCGGCACGGAACATAATTTTTGTTCGAATTATAGAGAAATTCGAGTTTTAGAAGTTCGAGTTATGGAAGCAGAATTGTATGGAATTTGCTCTCTAAAACCTTGGTGCACTGTTTTTGGTTCGAGTTATAGAAAATTCAAGTTATAGAAGTTTGAATTATGGAAAATTTGTAACCCAACTTTAAATTGTGATACTTCCATTTATTGGAATAAGTCAACACTAACTTCAATAAATTATTAAGAGGTATCTAAGAAATAAATGCTTACACACTATAATTTAAATCCCATACATTGCGTTGTCTTATACCAAACCCATTATATTAGGTAAGGTTAGGTTATCTGGTAGTCTTGTGCTAACATTCTTTCACTGATTTGTTTTTAATATTTTTAAAACTTATATGGTGACTTAGCTTCCTTTCTCATTAATCATGGATTTTTGATTTACTCCAATATATTTATTTATGCAACAATTAAACTGTGTTTACACTTCAATTATCAAATCTCATTAGCACACTTGCATCGATTTTACATGGCATTTATTGCTGCATATTTGTATGTTAATTGTGATACTGGGTGATAGGTTAATGTATGTATCTTAATGTAATGTTTATTGATACATACTAAGTAAAATCATAACTTAGTGAGCCTTTCAGATCAGAACTTACTTTGAGTAATAGGGAGATTTACTGTAATTACCGTTAATTTACTAAAATAGTTTAAGTGTAAAGATGAGTATTATTAAAGCCTTGAATTGATGGTGAAACGATGATAAAAAAGATGTATAAAAATCAGTCTATTTACATTCGCAAGGTTTTTATAGGAGAGACATGCATGGTATAGGCCCAGTAGAATCATAGCAACAGGTGCCTTCAGACCAAAACTTAATTTGGGTGATATGGGATTACTGTTATTACTATTATTTTTATTGGGAGAGTTTACGTGTGCAGATGTTGGTTATTGAGATTTTGACATGTTGGAGGTGGAAGCGATGATTCAAAAGATGTACAAAAATCACTTTATTTAGATTTATCTGGTCTTTATAGAAGAGATTAGCATGGTATAGTCTGAAATGTAGTGTTATGTGGTATTTCTTTAAAGTTGCCAATGTGTAGTTTGGTGGATTATAATGGGTCATTTGATTTTTACTAAAACATATGTAAGGAAAGAAATAAATGTTAGCGCATTCTTGAGGAATTAAGAATCCATATTAGTCTTATAGAAACAAGAGTAACTTTTGCGGACTGATAGTGACTATCAGAAACTAAAGCTAGTTTTTATAAAATTTTATTAATTGGTAAATATTTATTACTATTATAACTTTAGAAAATAAAAAATTTAGCCTTACTAAATGCAAATAAATTTTTTAAAATCTTTATTGATATATGTATATAAGTATTCATATTAACTCCAAGTTTACATAATTCATTTTAATAAAAAGTCAATATACTTTAGATACATTGTTCAATTACACATTAATAAATCGTAAATTATTTAATTATTATCTATATATTTTACTTCATTGAGATACAAATAATTGTCAGCTTACTTCAATTTAACAAAAAATCAATACGAAAATAAATAAGTAAAAATAAAAAAACAAAAATAAAAAAAAAAGTAACGTAATATCAAACTCACTTTTTAACAATAAATTAAAATTAATCTTTCAAAATATACAATTACAATTGTAATTAAAAAATAGTCACAGACTTCAGAAAACACAAGCGAAGCGAGGGTTTACGTCCCTGCTAAGGAACCATGCTGTTAGAGGGTATAAATATGTTGAAGGTTTTTAATTGCCTAAATATGCGTACGTGTTATGTTAAACGTTATTATAACTTGATTTAAAAAAAATTTATATGTAAATTATGTTATATATTTGAAGCGTCCAGTATACGTCGTTGTCACTCATTCCTGCACTGCAATCGGGTTGTTATTACTATTTAATCCTACATTTTGTTCACTTCCGCTTGTTGTGTTGTTGGATGAGACGTCGTCTGGTTGCACAGTCGTTGCAATTGTATCAACAGATGTAGTATTAGTAATGCTTTCACCACTTGGTGGTGACGTACTTTTACGAGTCGATGTAACTTGCGGTGGCTGAAAGGATGGCCTCTGCACAAACATATTATCTATGATATGATCGATGTTATCTGCACTACCAATAGGTGCAGTCGATTGAACTGGTATAGTGCTATTGTTCTTCATCTCATCTTTCACTTCAGTCGCACGTTGTTTGTTTTTCTCCGAAGGGGGCAGTATAGGAATGGCATTTGTTGGACGTCTTTGCGGTAACGTTACTGGTCTGCTAGTAGTTTGAGCAGGTGGTACGAAGTACGTAGTACCGCCGACAGTATTGAAGTTCTGATAATTCGTATAATTTTGGTTTGAATTTGGTTGTTGTGGCTGTGTTGCACCAGGAGCAGCTACTGGTGTTACTGCTGCCGTTGGATATGAGGTAGGGGGATTGTTTTGTGGATTAGTTGGAGCCGTTGCCGCATAACCAATTGGAGCACCAGTTGCTGCTGGCTGTAAATAGTTCGCCGGCTGTGCATATGGTGTTGCTTGTGGTCCCTGAGCATTTGCTGTAGCTGCATAGGCTTCCGGTGTAGTAACATAATAAGCAGTCGGTGCAGGAGTTGGCCCAGCACTATTTCCATATGTTGGAGCTTGTGTCTGTGGTGGTACTGTAGTATATGTAGGCGGTTTCGGTTGAGGTGGTGTTTGATTAACCTGCATAGCCTGCATCTGCGCCTGTAGATTCTCTTGATGATAAAGATGCATAAGGTTTGCCTGCAACATATGTTGATCTTGCAACATCATTTGTGGTTGCTGTTGTGCCTGATATTGCATTTGAAGTTGATGCTGATCAGCAAGATGTTGGGCCTCATGCTGAGAACGACGTAAGCTTGAGTATCTTTTTGGTGGTCCACGCTGCTCTTGAGGTTGGCTCTGTTGTGGCACCAATATATTTGCGTTTTGCTGTTGTTGTTGTTGTTGTTGCTGTTGCTGTTGCTGTGTTACTATTTGGTTTTGAGTAGCTAAAGCATGCATTTGCACACTACCAACATGACTTGGATCGTTACGATTCTGTACTTGCTGTAAACGCTGAGATAAATTGGTAGGTGGTAATTGTGTAGTTGGTACTGTTTTGATTGGTAATGACTGTCTTATTGGAGTTTTTTGTTGTGGAGAGGGTTGTATTTGTTGATAACTGTTTTCGTTTGTTTTATTTATATTGCTGTTATTATTAACGTTATTGTAATCAATTTGATGTGACTGCGGATACTTAGCATTATTTTGGAGTTTACCACCACTTTTCATGATATCATTGTTTGCGCCATTCGATTGTGAGCGATTTATTTGTCTTTCAACATGAGTTTCGTTACGGTTATTCAGATCTTGATGTCCTTGACTATTTCTCTGCTTTTGCTGTTTAAATTCCATTGGAGCCTGACGAACGTTGTTCACATTTTGTCTGCCATAATTTCGGCTTTTGTTTTGTTTAATATCCCCACGATCTCTACGATCCTCTGTATTTAAGTTACGTGGTCCTTTCGAATTGTTTTTATCAGTTTGATTCAGTAGTTCAGTAGCGCTTTCGTTCTGACGTTTGTTTAACCTATTTTCCTTTTCTTCACGTACTTTAGGTTTCCTCTGAGTCTTGTTGTTTCGTTCATTTAGCGCTGGAAAATCTGATGGACGTGGCGGTTTACGTTCTTTATTGCTTGCTTTAAGGTAGGCGTTTCCATCTTCCCAGTTACGGGAGTATTTACTTGGACCTCGACCATAGCGGCGACGTCTTCTAGCACGTGGTGGAGCATCCTCTGTACGAATGTCATAACCATAAGTAGAAACTAATTCTGAACGGCTTTTTGGCGCTTGCTCATCTTGATCGAAACGATCATGAGACCAACGTTCAACAGCGGATGCTGGCTGCCATTTTTTTAATGTCTTTGAACCTTGTTCTATAATTGGAGATTGTGGTGATTTGGCACCTGCAGCACCTACAGCATTTTGTTGTTCACCACTTTCACTAATTATTAAAGTACCATCAGCCACAACATCCGCAGTACGATCATCATGTTCGTAAAACGTACCTCGTTTCGGTATATATTGAGGATTACTGCGATCTTCGTCTACTTTTTTTTGAGTTTCTGGATCGATTTTAGATGTACTCGGTAATGTATTAAACTCATCATCTTCGTCCTCGTCGTCTTCTATATCATCTTCATCAGTCACACTATCACCATCGTCATCTATATCATCATCATCGTCATAATCATCGCCACCCTCCAAGTCACTTGCTGTATCGTATTCGGAATCATGTGGATGAGAATTACTTGTACCCTGTGTTGGCGGCGATGTGCCTAAATCAGCTGCACCACCACTAGCTTCGCTTGGACAACTTAAATTTCCTTTTGGAATGTCGACTGTCTTAATATTTTCTATTTCTGCCATTTTCAATAACTAAAAAATATTATTTATTGCATTTTTTTCACATAGAGAAAGTTATACAAGTCACATATATAAAACCCACCTTGTCGATAATTATTTATTTATTTATGCTATTTAATCGCAATTAAATATTTTGTAATATTTTGTTAGTTATTTAATACGATTAAGAAAAAAACTGTTCAATGTAACTTTTTAACAACGCAATCACGAAAAAGAAAGTTAGAATATGCGGAGAATGTATGATACAGTAAAAGAAATTATCTATTTTCGTTGATTGCCTTACATGGCATTGTTGCCAACTTCATCATTAATATATTATCTTATATGTGAGCTAAAACTATAATGATGTATGGTCCTATTCTCATCTTATTAGAAATGATTAAGAAGAAATTTTATACATATAAAATAAACAAAAATTACTAATTACTATAAGTATTATTTTAAAAAATATATATGCATGATTTGTGTGCTTTGATTAAAAGTTATTTTGAACTGCCATGGCTTGAAATGACACAATAAAATATATTCAATGTATTGGCAACACTTTTATAGTGACAGCACAAAATTACGAAGTATCTATCAAAATAAAACGAAAAAAAATCTTATTACTTATTACCAAATCCAATAAGATTGAATTGAGTAAGAATATGAATTGAAAATGAATAATAAAAAAAAATTAAAATATATTTTATTATTTTATTTGTGAGTTAACACTAAAATTAATTTTAAAGTTAACTAAGAATAAGAAACTGGACAACTAAGTCCTTCGCCCTATTAAAATATATTAATTCAAAAAATTCTGAGAGATTAAACTAAAACTGATAATAGAGATGAATGGTCCCTTTAGTGATAAATTTAATGTGACAAAATTTTGCCATTAATTATCAAATACATAAAATTTTAAATATATTAATATTTATATTATTGGGATCTGAAAAAAAATCACAGGAATACAAATAAACTCAAGACATTGTAAAAAAATAGAGCATTAAGCATTTATTTTTTTACCTCGATCCCATATTTTAACTATTAATTAAGATATGAAATTTCTGACCTAGCAAGAGAGAAGAAAGTGGTTTGTTAAGCCCCAGGCGCCACTCCGAGAAAAGCACCAAATATACCTCAAGCATAAATTCTAATATTTTAATATCTCTGCATATGTTTTGGGGAGGCGAAAAAGATATAGAACCCACACTTCGAATTAT